GGACCTGGCACGGCCAGGTGATTGGGCTCATATGGCGGAGGGGAAGTGGCGAGGCCTGTGGAGGAGGAATCAGGCTTGGATGGCGGAAGGGACCTGGTGCAGCCTGACGGGGGGAGGTCGGGCTCGGATGGTAGAGGGGACCCAGCCCCTTCAGCTTCTCTCCAGTAGTGATACCCCCTGGGGCATGAAGCAGGAGCTGGACTGGACCGTCCCAGATGGGATGTCCCCGAGGCTGGCCACAGCAAGAGGCTGGTGATAGAGGTGAAGGCAGGCTGTGGTGATAGCATGAGGGTGCAAATGGCAAGATGTCACTCTGTCATCCCACAGGAATTTTTTTGCTCAGGTCTTGCGAGGTGAGGAAATAATCCTAGTTTGTTACTGTGGCTTTGATTTGAGATCACTCCCACTCCAACTTTTGCTGCTATTTTTTTGGGGGGGAGGGGGCGTGAGGTTTTCTCAAAAATCAAAAAGGGGGCATGATGCTGAAAAGTTTGGGAACCACCAAGCTAGATCATTTCCTGGTATCAGCAAAGAGATGTCTAGACCCTCCAGTTTCTTTGGTGCACTGCGAGCACCAAAGGAGACTGGGTCCCAGACCAATTCACTGTTTTCAGCTTTGGTGCCATTTGCTATTTAACCATCACTGCAGAGGATGAGACCACTCATTACTGTGGTGTACATTCCAGCTGTAGTAGTAGCTATGGATAATATCCCCAGGGATACACTCAAATATGGAACTGAGAACAAAACCTGTCTTCTCTCTGTGTTCTGTGCTCTGCTGGGATCTGCATGCCTTTTACACAGCTTGGTTAGTCCTAAGCCTTTCAGCTACTGTCTGTAAACCCAAAGGAAAGGAGGACAGTGGTGGGAGAGGGAAGGAATTTGCTGGGATAAACTGTGTTTGTGCACACGAATGGAGCAGGTGACATCTTTCTTATAAATGTCTCTACAAAAATATAGACAAGAGTCTGCTTGTTCAGGCAGCCTATTGTCACACCTTCTTCTGGGACGCCCCAAATAGGCCCGTCTCCTTTCCCCATGTTGGTACACCCCTTCTTGGACAGCATCATTACAGGACTACATCCAGACTGCAGGCTTCTTTTGGAAGAAGCTTTTCCGGAAGAGATCTTCTGAAAAAACTTCTTCCGAAAGAGCACCCACACTGCCAACACGCATCGAAAACGCCATCTGCTTTTTCAAAAGATAGCGTCCACACTGAACGGCTGCTACCTCGCATTTAAGCCGTGATTGCTATGGATGGAGTGGCCACCAGGGCACCTGTGCTTTTTCCTTTTTCCTCTTCTTCCGAAAGAACTCCCTCTTCCCCGTCCACACACACCTTTTTCCGAAAGAGCTCTTTTGGAAAAGGCTTCTTCCTCTTAGAATGAGGATTACCAGTGTCGGAAAAACCTCTCTGTTCTTTTGATTTTCTTGTGGAAGAATGTGATTGCAGTGTGGTCGTTCCTCAAGTTTTGTCGGAAACATGGCCATTTTTCCGACAAAACTTTGTAGCATAGACATACACTAGGAGATGCCTGCTCCAGAAAGTCCTTTCCAAGAGAGACTAAGTCGACTGAGTCTGCTTGTCTCTTTGGTAATGTGCACAATGTCTCTTTATGGAGCGTTAGTCATTGAATGGCAAATCGAGGCAGAAGGACGGTCATGGGAGTGATGCCATGGTGGGATACAGGTGACATTGATTCAGTTCCTGCCATTGTCACCGGTCTTCCCATGAATGTGTCTCTCACTAACTGTGGGTGCACAGCACCTAGCATGATGGGGCCTCCAGACTTGGTTGGAATCTCTAAGGGTGCATCTCCACAGCAACATTATTTCAAAATAACTAGCGTTATTGCCAAACAACTTAGTCCGCCTCTACGCAG